TATCCATGATTTGATAAGATTTCTTCCTTTAGAAGAAAATGCAGGTACCGTTTGCGAATAGTGCATAAATTTTTTTAATGAAATGCCTTTTTGATTCCCCATTCCTCGCATTTAGCAGGAGAGGATTTTACGTTTTTTAATCAGTCGTAAAAGGTTATCATTTATTCATGTTATGTTCATGATAAAGAGTTTTACATAAATCGAATGTCTGGAAGGTAGCGCCATCTGTGTGTCAGTCGTACGACTTATTGACTGATGTATTATTTTGTTAAGCTTTTTGGAGTTTTATGAATAAATTTTATTAATATTTGCTAATATTTGCAATGAAGAAAATGTTAGAAATCATTAAATTCCAAAGCTATCTTTATTATCAGGCCAAATCGATTCGATCTACCTAGGTTTATATACTTACGTTTATATTTGTCTATGTAAAATAATAAGAAATAGTTTTTTTTCTTTTAATAAATTTAATGCTTGCATGTATTTTTGAATGAAATGATAATACCGATAAAAAAAAATAATATTATATATAACAAATCATTTGATCTATAAAAATAAAAAACAAATACTGTGATCACATTTTCTAACGGCTTACTTCTTCTTTCTGTATACATAACCACCATTGGCAGCATATTGAGTGCCAAGATCAGCAGAAGCACCAGAATAACCACCAGAGTATGAACCAGAACCGGAGCTAGAGAAGCCCAAAGATGAGCCAGAGTAACTTGGTGCAGAGTATGATTGCACAGCTGGTGCTGAATAAGATTGGATAGCTGGGGCTGAGTATGACTGAACAGCTGGTGCTGAGTATGATTGAACAGCTGGAGCTGCATAGCTTACTGATGGAGCAGCATATGATTGTTGTACGGGTGGCAAGTATTCGTTAGCTGGTGCAGATACAGGTGCGGAGTATTGTTCCTGTACAGCATAGCTTTGTGCGATGGGTGCTGAGTAAGATTGTACTGGTGCTGAATATGATTGTTGAGCTCCAGAATAACCACCGGAATAACCACCGGAATAGCCACCAGAATAACCACCAGATAAACCTCCAGAGAAACCACTAGATGATGAGTGAGATGAGAAGGATGGTGCAGAATAGCTAGCAGATGGTGCAGAATAACTTTGTTGTACAATTGGTGCAGAATAGCTGCTAGCTGGTGCTGAGTACGATTGTTGTACAGGTGGCAAGTATTCGTTAGATGGTGCACTGTAACGATTTGGTGGCAAGTACGTATTCGACAAATGGCTGACATCAGCCGAAGCGAATGCGACCATGGCAAGTGTTACAGCAATGAAGAATTTCTGTAATTAAAGAAAATAATATAATTAATATGAATTATAATGTAGACTTCTTAATTATTGTAAAAAATGTGCAGTTGTTAATTTAATTGCACAGAGAACGTAATAATTGATTGATAGCTATATTGGAGAAGTGAATGTAAGTAAATATAATAAGCAGTTCAAATTATTATAAAGTTACAATTTATGTGCTTAGTTTTCATTGAGAAAACTATGATTGAACTGTGAAATGAAATTATTTAACTCATTTTACAATAAAAAAGTTAAAACTTTCTTTATTAGAAATTAAAGATAATATTGGAATCATAGTAGCATTGCTGAGAAAAGCTTATTTGGCGGTTATTTAAGAACTGGTATTGTTAACACCTTCTTAGCACTTTTGTTAAAAGCTATTTATATACATTATAGTTTGCTTTTATTAAATGTGGTATCTTAATATGTTTCCATATGTTTCGAATTCTTTTGATTATAAACAGAAGGAACTTTATTTGTTTGAAGCGTATTTCCTTTTAATAAAATTTCGAGTCCTAAGTTTCAAATCTATTATCTTTCCATGTCACTTTAAAAACTTTGTTAATTATTTACTTTAATTATCATACAAAATAAATAAAATTTGTATGAATCGTTTATGGATTCCATATGAACACTCTAATTATATTGCTCCACTTCATTTAAGTGCACTTTAAAGTACTCCTTTAGTTCACTTCACTACTTATGAGATATTTAGTGTTTATTCATAGTCATTCACTTGATTGCAATTAAAAAATAAAAATGAATATGTCACATTTGATGTTTTACTTCAGAAAAGGATCTTAACTAACCATATTGTTGAGGTTTGTCAGATGTGTTGTGACTTTACTAGACGAAGAAACCGTTGAAACTGATGCTGTTCCATAAACCAACTGACCAATTTATACTAAAACTATCGCTTACAGTGGTTAAACTGCAGACTAAAGAAAAAAAATCACACGCTTAAGAGGGTTAAACGAGTTTTAGTGTTTTACAATACTGTTTATATTGTTTTTGTTTTTGTTTTTGGTTGATGTTTTTTTTTTTAATTATTTGAAAGAAGAAGTTAAAAATGAGCTCAAGACGCAAGTCGAAAATTAAGTTAGTGACTTTTTTTCTGTTAATTCGCAATTTATTCACTCGCCACATCAACAATGAATTCGAAGTCGAATGTACTCGCTCATAATGCTCGCTGGCAATCTTAACTATGCAATGTTGAAGGTGTAGTGAATGCACATAAAACAACAATGTTGAGTTTGTTTATAAAATAAAAACAAAGTAAAAAAATTAAATAATGTTATTAATGAACATAAAGTGACGAATCGTTTTGCATTATACAAATATGAATCAGTTCCAAGCAGCGAGTAATGTAGATTTTTTTTTGCAATAAATTTCAAAATAAATTAGTGTAATAATTTTGAACTTTAATGGTGGCATTAATGCAAATTAAACATTTTTAATTAATTAACAAGAATGTTTCATATTAATATTCTTTAAAAGTTAGAAGTGATGATATCTTTTCGTAGACATTATGAATATTTGATGAATATTTGAATGAAGCGTTAATGACAAAACGCATTCTATTATTCAAATAAATTATATTTTTAGAAATATTAAATAGCTTCACTGATGTAATATTCGAATGTACGTTACTTAATGCAATTTAGTTTGAAATGAAGGTAATAGAAGAGAAAAACGAAGTCTAATAATAAGTTTCCATTTTATAATTATTTAATTTTAAATTATAAATTTCAATCTAACTTGTTCCAATAAAATGAACTCTAACAAATTTCATTATTTAAGAGCAATAGCTTAACTATTTATTCCTGGTACTTGCAGTCTCTAAAAATAATTTACGAATAATAAAATATAAAAAATAATTCCAGGACCATTGGTGATGGCTATTTGGCAATGCTTAAAATAGCTATATGGTTAGCCAAAAATTCAAATAATTAAAATAATATAAAATGAATTGTTGTTGTTGTAGTTTACTACTTCACTATGAAAAACCTCTTTATTAACTATTTATTAATAACGTAGTATTTCATATCAAGCAGGCGTTTAATATTTACTTACATATATTCATTTCACCATAACCACCCATTATGGAGTTTCAGCCTGTCGTAGTACTCCTCTCAAGCAGCTTTGTAGCCTGTGTCACATCATCCCATTCTTTAGTGCCTATTCCAGAGAAATATAAAATGTATCTGATTCATCTGATATCTGATTCATATCTTTTGTAAAGCATATTTGAGCAAAATTTGGTGTTTTCACATAATTGTTTGTGGGAACTAATTTTTGGTCAAATATACTTTGTCAGCGTTTGCACTATTCGTTGCAATCGCTTAAAATGTTTTTATATTTTAGTTCTAAGTTAGTCTTAAGATTTCCTAAATAAAGGAAACAACCAAATTAAGTTTTGTATGTAAACTATAATTCATGCGTGTTTTCTTCAGCCGTTCACATCCTGTGCGGTTACCGGTTTTTCAATTTGATTACTCTATAAGATGTTTTCATACGACTTCTTTCTATAGCATTTATCCTCAAGAGATGGCTAAGGTAGTTTAGCTGGTTGAAAAGTTATAATGTATAACTATAGTTATAATAGTTCATGGTTCATTAGGATGCCGCCTTTCGATCGTAGAGGATCAGAGATCTTACGAATACTATATTCTCGTTTGTCACATTTGATCAAATTAAAAAATTGGTAGGGTTTTGTGAAGAAAATGGCAATAAAATTATGTACCTTTATACGTTCCTACTTTATTATCAATTCCTGTAAAACATAAATAACTACTATGATTGATTCCTTAATACAATTTTTAAAATACTATATCATACACAAGTTATATTTTAGTGTAGTTTCGTACTTTGAAAGCAATGGATCTGTTCTTGTTTTGATTGCGTTTTTACGTTTCTACGTTGAAAGTTAAATAAATTTATCATTATTAATGCAAATGTTTATAATTAATGTATTGCATGATGGACGGAAGGTAATCAAATACCAACAGCTGACCAACTTTCAACTTTCCTTTTTATTTATTGTGTGCGAAATACCGTCCCACTAAACACAAAAATAATAAAAAATGTTTAAATTTGAATTAATTAAAAATTTGATATATATACTGAATTTTATAGATATTAGAAATTTTTTTTTATCATAATAATTATTTTTTTTATCTATAGTTTTATATAATATTAATAAAACGAAATTTATATAATAATTTGCAAAATCAATAATTCCAATTAAATTTGTCAAAAATTTAAGAAAAAAATTAGAATACAAGAACGTATTCATTGAAATTTACTGGTAGTCATTATAGAAAGTGGGATAGAAAAACTAAAAGGACCACTTGATGCAAAAACGCAATCATTGTAACTAGTAATTTTTTCATTTTACGAAGGAAGAAAGTAAACTGATAAATATTATATGTAACGTATATATGCAAAAACCCTAAAGCAAATTATTCTACTTTGGCTTAAATTGATTAACAAATATTACAAGTTAAAAACTGATATATTAATTGGTATTATATATATTATCAACCGAGATAGACTAGCATTGCTAACATTTTCTACTAATTTTTAGATATGAAATTATTGAGGATTATTTCTTTTTATATTTGTATATGGCGTGCTCAAGAACGGAGACAGAAACGTTCAGGTCCCTTAGATTAGCTTGTGTACGACCAACTGGTGCAACTACTGTTCATTCCACATTATTTGGTAGGCTTCTCAGACATATAGGTTTAATACTCTATTATTACTTTTAAACATATTAAAACAGTTAAAATAGTTTTAGAGCATATTTAGTACAGTTATGAGAGAGTATAGTATAATAAATAGTTTTGCTATTCCTTTATTTTCAAATTATGTGAGGTGTAATTACAACAAAAAAAAATGTCTATATACAAGTATTTTTCAAACCTTTATATAAAAAGGAAAGGGTATTAGTTTTGTATAGAATTATTCTTTCAGCAACCATTAGCTTATATTACTTTGTTGAAAGTTAGTAGAATAATTGATGACCATTGCAGTAAATAGGTTTTATTCAATATATCTAAATGATTTTAGAATGCCCTTTTTCAAAATCACATTATTTAGTTGTACCAGAGCTATAATACCCTATATGCGCACTTCATAAAAATCAACTATATACTTTCATTAAATTATAATTTTTGATTATATTTTGTTGAGTTGCTAACGCTTCCTCTGCTTGATATTGTAATTGATATTGTCATATTGTATTTATTATAGTATATTGTAAAATCTTATAAATTGTTAATTCATTATATGTGATTCTGTTTTTGCTTATGGATAGCGTGTTACTTTAAATCACTACTATCTTGTTTTTTTTTTTCTATGTAAAATATTAAAAGCAACAGTGTAAGACTTGAACCCAAAATCAACTATTAATCAGTTCAAAAAAAAAAAAACGTAGCAATTCTAAAAGGTTTGCAGTTAAAATCATATATCAATGACCATGGCATAAAATATGAGAGGCTTCGTATTTGATTTCCAAATTTTTCTAAGCTGAAAGAGAGAATGAAAGCTATGTTAATCAAAAGTGACGACTGGTGTATATAGAAGGATGAAGATTCTTTAAGAGTATAGTCTTGAAATGGGTTCTTGTATTCCCAAATAAACATAAGAATGAGGAGTGGGATTACTCGTCATCTAGTTTATATAGAAGTATAAAGAATATGAATAAGCTTCCAACAATTATGCTAAGATATACAAGAGTCTTAATATTTGAATTTCAAATTTGTCTAAGCGAAAAGTGAAGATTTGAATTACAAGAATGTGGAAAATAAGTTGTCTCCTCAAAATGGAAGTGTGGAATAAAAGCGAGGGTCCAATAATTGTAAAATGAAGCATAAGAATCTTAATAATAGGCGTAGGCGGCATATATAATATTCTTTCTATATGGGTACGTACACTACTTGTAATATTTTAAACACAATGGGATGTACTCATCCACTTCAACTGTGAGAATTTTCAATTGCTCATAAATATATACATAATGTAGTCTTGGATGTTTCATTTATTTTATATTAGATATATATATTTATATAATTTTAATAGTTACGAAAAGTTATGAAAAAATTTTATATTAAAATTGGAAAAATAAAATCAATATAAAAACACTGATTTGATATAAAAATCATTTTATAAGAAAAAATTCAAACTACAAATGTTTAATCTAAGAAAAAAATAATGTTTAAAAATAAAAATCGTGCATTTATTTCTTTTTTCCAACTATTAAGACATAAAAAAAAATAATAAAAAAGCAAACCAAATTGTTAATTTAATTCATTGTCAAAATGGATGTTCGCATGTCTTTGGGTTTGTGGCTTAAACTGCAAGGTCACTCGCGGCGGCATACAAGCTGTAAAGCTGCTGACGCCACATGGCCTGCGGCGGTTACATGAAGTGTGCTTCATTTAACTTGTTTTAAACTTACCGGTTGTTTGCCGGCTTCCAAGAAACAACTTCTCGTCCAAACTCACACAAACTCTCCCCCACTCGTTGGCTTAATTACCAACGAGTGGACGATCGTCAAGCAGCGCACATTTCACCAATTTGCATAAAAGCGTTTTGAGCTGAGCTGTTGTGGTTGTTGTTGTTGTAGTTGTAGTTGTAGTTGCTTTCGCGGTTAATAAGCTGGCGGACAGCCAGACTGACAGATGTATAGACAGATGGACAGACAGATATTTGATCTGGTTATCAATTTTAATGTGTAACAAGCATTCAATTTGGGTCAAACTTGGTTGGCAAGGAAAGAAAATTAATGCAGTTTTATATTTAAATTGGATTTCAATCTATGCGGTTTTCTTATTTATTTTTTTTTGACAAATTGTTTGCATAAATTTTTAATAGAAAACAATATTGCATAAGACAATA